TAGAGATTTCATGTTATAATTTTTTCTACTGATTCATGTCTTACCTTGTAAAGATGATTTATTGAAGGCAGTAACAGAAGTGGCTACAGAAGGAGGGGGTAAAAGAGGGTAAATTGACTGTAAAGATGATGTTTGTTCAAGTATAAAACATCACTGAGTTGAAATAGCAGTCTATGGATTATATAAATCCACAGTTTCAGGATAAAGTTTGAAGTGCTCAATGCACAGAGGATATAGGAAGAATTAATCCTTCACTAAACTTTTGTTTCTAATAAAACAAACAAACAAAAAAAACCTCATCACTTTACCAAGTACAGAGAAGCCGAGCTGAATAAACAAGCCAGCAGTTGTCTACTAGCATAGGGGCAAACACTATCTAAGATCTCCAAATTTAAATACATTCTATTAGTTCTATAGATTAATACCACGAGCTATTTTTCTTTTTTAAATTTTGGAGTCAGATTTATTTTACAAGCTAGTTGATTTTGGGTGAACCTAGAAAAAAATGTGTCAAGAAACTTAAAATTTTGAATGATAATTAAGACTCAGACAAAACCATGGTGAGTCTACAGTAATTCACATTTGATTAAAACAACAATGAATTGAAATGTAAGTCTTTATTTTCTGTTTAAATCTTACAGCCACAAAGAGTTCAGTTAAATCCTACCAAAAAAAAATATTTGCAGATTGATGGAAAAGTATAAAATGTGAATGACAACTAAGAAAGACAAGTTTTTATTCTAATTTCAAAAACTGAAATCAAGTTGAATTTTATTACATTTCATTTTCTCTTATTCTCAATGACACATATTGACTTCTATTGATAGGATCCATTAACTCACCATTATGAACTTCAGAAACCCTATACATAAACACGATACAGGCACTTATATGCACATCCTGTCAAATGAATAAAACAAAAAGTCTTACTTACCTCTGCTGACATCCATGGCATATAGTTCTCTTAGTCCCAGGTCATTAAGAGATTGTGTCAAGTCAAGGGGCTCCTGAGATTGATAATCTTTCAACAATAGCGTATGGAATGGATCAAACTCACATTTGCTGCATATAATGGGGACAAGTTCTTGCAGTGGTGCATGAGGGCTAACTCTCACTATTGTCTTCTGTGTTTTCTTAAAATTGATCACTACTCTCACAGTTTTCTGAAAAACAGATTAAAGCCATAGTTATTACCATAATTTATTTACTAAAACTTTCTACAATGACATTTACAATAAGAGATGATCTACAAAATACAGCCATACAATAAACAGTATTTTTCTATTTTGGTATAAAATTATTATTTTTCTTTCCTAAAGCATATTCTTAGAAATAATTTAAGTAATCTAGATTAAATCCATAATCCCTTTAAAGTATTAGATCTGAAATCTAAAAGGAAACATAAAAGCCTCATATCTGATACTATGAATATTTTCATTTGTTCCTTAAAATATTTATTATAAAAAATTATTATAAAATGAGCAGTGTCCATAATAATACAGAGATATACATGTTCTATTTTATATTTTAGTTGAGGAATATTTATCTAATGGTTTGTCTGTTGTCTCAATGAAAAAAGGAGTATTTTGCTTAAAATATAAAATTTTTGTGCTTCTATTAAAAGGAATATAAATGAGATATCCCACATAAAAAACTTAGCATAGTATCTGGCACATAGTAAACTATTAACAAATAAACATTAGCTATTGTGATTACCTATTGTCTCTATTATTTGACAATAATACTTTGGCTCATTTTGATATATTAGTAAAGACTATTAAGATATTCCTGATTCAGATATCTAGTACTAATTAGAATTATTGAGAAAATTTTAAACATATCATTTTAATGTAATTAAATTAACTCATATACAAAGTGGAACTTAGAAACATTTTACCATGCTAAGTGAAAACTACAGTTTACAGATCTTTAAAGTTTAACATGTATTAAATTAAAACACCAAGTATAATCCCACGCTGTAAAATAAATACTATTTCCACCTAGATATATAATGTATGTATCTAGATTGGTAATAGTCCAATATCCTAATTAATTCTTAATATCAGTATTTTGTAGAACACAAATGTGTTCCACACAGTTAAAAATTCTTAACTTTTTAATAAAAAGTTGCATAACAATATGAAGAAAATATGAGAATATATATATTCTAAAGTCATATGTAAATAAATTATTAATTTAATTTATTGGCCTTCATATATTTCCTGAAGTTAAAAAAGTTGACATTCCTAATGAAAAAATACTTCTTGAAACCCACAATATTCTACCTCTATAGCTTATAGAAACAGAACCATTTTATAAATAAAGAATTGCTATTAGAACAACTATGTGAAAAATTTTTGAGAAAAAAAATTTTTGCTTAAAATTCATATATTTACAGAAAACTGAGTCATTATATAGCTTGAATTAACAACTTGGAATAAAACCACCACTTTACCGAGTACAGAGAAGCCAAAAAATATTTTAATAAATTCTTAAGTAAATTTTCATTGAAAGATTCTAAAACCTTCCTCTAAATATAAAATACTTTTTGGAGTGCCTAAGTGGCTCAGTTGGTTAAGTGTATGACTCTTGATTCTGGCTAGGTCATAACTCAGGATCATAAGATCGAGCCCCACACAGGGCTCTGTGTTAGTGAGGGGTCTGCTTCTCTCCCTCTCCCTCTTCCCCTGCCCCAACTTGTGCACTCATGCTCTCTCTCCCTCTAATAAATAATAAATAAATCTTGGTGAAAAAAAAAAAAACTTTTTAAAAGAGTAATTTAAAATGCAGATCATTTATAATTGTCAGATTCTGATATGGTCCTATAGATCACTTTAAAGTGTCTAAAACCAAAAGTATTCCCAAAATTCTAGTTAACCCAAAGATTAATAACCAAATGAATCCTAAACAATGCGGCCAAGGCAAACAAGACAGCCATGTTCACAACAAATTTAACCAGGAAAGTCCATTTTTATTTGAAATAAATATGAGCTGCAGGTTATACCTGAAAAATCAATTCAGTATTTTTGCCAGAAGACATCAAAATCCTAGTGACATTCATACCTCTGGTATTATAGGCGTAGGTTTTTTCTTATCCAAAATTTTTGGCTTTAAAATGACTTTCTCCACCTCCAACATTCCTATTGGTGTGTTTGGCTTAAATTTAATGGGGTTATTTTCAGCTGACTGCAGATCAATTGTGTAACTGGATGGATTTAAGTGATACTGTGCACAGAGGAATATCAACAAGTCCATCATAGGTTTGCTGTAAAACAAAAGTAATATTGAATCGTAAAGTCCATAAAACAATTTCATTAAGTATTAAAGTTACTGTTCCTAGCATTTTTCTTAGGGCCTTTTTGTTTTCAGCGGATAAAACAAGGCTATAAAATAGTATGTGTGAAAGCAACTTAAAAATCTAGCTACAAGTTTGTTTGTTTTTTTTTTCCCCCACTGCAAAAGGAGATATATATATGGTAGCCTGGGCCCTGGACTACAAGTGTCTTCCTAACTACAAGATTTTTAAGTGAACAAAATTATAATACATAAAAAGTCCTGATTGGTACTTTTGATTGGTACTCAAGACAGCTTGAGTACCTGATTGGTACTCAAGACAGCTTGGATCTTAGTGTTAGTTTAACAATTATATTTTTTATCTGCCAAGTTGTCATCTTATTATTATAAATTTTAAGAGAATCCTTCCCTTACCCAAGAGCACTTAGTTCAGCAAATGCTCTCCTTTACAATATTTTGAATACCAGCAGTCTTTGACTTATAAACTGGTAATATTTCAAAGATCGCATAAAAATGAAGCATTAACAACCAGCACCCCCTTGGGGCACCTGGCTGGCTCAGTTGGTAGAGCATGTGACTCTTGATCTGTGTCATGAGATCAAGCACTGCTCTGGGTGGGGGTGTGGGGGGAAAAGAATGAATGAACAAACTACCACCACTCTTTGAGCTTTAGAAAGCACAGTGAGTATCTATAGGAGGAAGCTCACAAAAGTATAGTATAGATTTCTTAATTCATTCGAATGACATTTAATATTTTCTACAGCCCTGGAGACACAATACAAGTGATATGCCCTCATAGATCTAAACAAGTAGATGGACTAGGCCAAGTGTCAGCAAACTACAATCTGCAGGTCAAAGTGGGCCCATGGCCTATTTTTTATAAATAAAGCTTTATTGTAATACAACCATGCTCATTTGTTTCCATAATATCTAGGGCCGCTTCTGTTAAAATGGCAGATTTGAGTAGAAATGATGGAAACTGAACGGTCCACAAAGCCTAACTTATTTACTATCTGGTTCTTGACAATAAAACATTATGGGCACTTGCGCTGTAACAACTAAAAAGTAACCAAGTAAATGTATAATCTCAGCTCATGATTAAGTGTTAAATTTCATTCACATCCACAAAAGAACAATACGGTCTCCGAGTCCTTCTTAATTGTCAGCCCTTAAGGAAAGACCACTAAAAATATCTTCTGTAGTATGTGCTTTCCTCGAATGTCTGGTGATCTTAAGCTGTTAGTTCATATTTAAGAGTGAGGCACTAAAACACTCTGTGAAAGTCCTATTTTCGTGAATGAAGGTATAAGTTGATGGGCTGCATTTACGGCAATCAAGTATTTTTCCATGGGGAAATATAAATGTTGGTAAAAAATTCTCCAGTTTCTTAACTACATAATATGAACCTAGCTCCTGGCTTTCAGGAACTTGACAGGGAAATGAGGTTAGGAATCATCACTGAGTCTGACATTTTTAATTTAGTACATTTGTTTTCATATGCACCTCATCCTGGCTCTATTAAGGGGAGTTCCCTCATCTGTAGCCTGTCTGGTTCAGCTTTTCTACAGAAGCAGTCTCCTCCTGGAAGAGGGCTAGTTGTCTGACATTGTGTGGTCTTGGGATTAAACAACACCTTATATGGATTCTCAAACCATCCCGTGTTCACCCACCTACCTTACCCTCGCCTTCTGTGACTGTTGCCCATCCCTTCACATCTCTTCTCCTCTCCCACCTACAAGTAGCACCCCATTATACATATATCAAGAAAAATAATAAAAACCTAAGCCCCTCAGTAAAAATATATATATGTAAATAAAATATAAATATATAAATATATATATATATATATATATATATATGTTTCAGTCCTCAAAATAAGTTTCCTATGCCTTTATTAGATGTTCCCACAATAATAACTTAGGAGTTTTATATCCTCTGGAGCCACTTGGTACGCTTATACATAAATTTGTCTATGATCACCCAAATGTTGACAATGAGTAGTAGATATTAAATTTCATCCACAGGAAGACTAGCATAATGGTTTTATTCAAGTTAGTTTTTTGGTAACGTAATAGTCTATGAGAGCAATTTGATGCTACATAAAAATTCTTGACTTGGACATGGTACCTCCTTTCTCTGATAGTAAATAAAGTTTAAAGGGATTAGGTAATGTCTAGGTAAATACAATGTAATTATAAATACACTAAAGCTGGAAGAGGAGAGAACTTTCACTGACAACCAAAATGGAGAGCTGTCTACTACTGTCTATGAATAAGCGGTGTTATGTTCAGATTGGATTTCTCTCTCCACATATAAATGTGCCAAGTAATAAATGTAAAAACACTAAAGCTTATACTTTAAACATTTGACCTCTTAAATGTGCATTCTGTAGAATCTCTGCCAGAAATACACAAAAGTTAACAAAATAAAAAGTTATTAATGCTACCATTTTTATCCCCCTATGTACAAAAATATAACCATTTAAGGAAAAAGATATTTTCCATTTTTAAAAGGTAAGCATTTAACACTCTCTACACACTTATTTAGCCTTTTTGATATGCCTTAATGAGTATTGTTTTTTATCTGTGACATTAGTTTTCTAAATTTTTTTAAAGATTTTATTTATTTATTTGACAGACAGAGATCATAAGTAGGCAGAGAAGCAGGCAGAGAGAGAGGAAGAAGCAGGCTCCCTGCTGAGCAGAGAGCCCGATGCGGGGCTCGATCCCAGGACCCTGAGATCATGACCTGAGCCAAAGGCAGAGGCTTTAACACACTGAGCCACCCAGGCACCCCTTGTTTTCTAATTTAATAAAAGAAGTGCATAATGGGCCAAAAATATTACAATAATGGCCTATTCCCTCAGTCAATTTGGTCATCTATAATCTTTGCACACTGTATCAGACTTCATGGCAAAAAGGCTGCAGGCTGACTGGACCTACATCATGCCTTTTGAATTCCACACTGCCTAAATATTTTCTTATAACAATGTCTCTTCAAAAGGCAACTAAAAAAAAAAAAAGGCAACTAAAAGGGCACCTGGGTGGCTTAGTCAGTTAAGTGTCTGCTTTAGGCTCAGGTCATGATCCTGGGGTCCTGGCACCGAGCCCCACATGGCACTCCCTGCTCAGCATAAAGTCTGCTTCTCCCTCTCCCCCTGCCTCTCCTCCTGCTCATGTGTGCTCTTTCTTTCTCTCTCTCAAAACAAATAAAAATCTTTAAAAAATAAAAAATAAAAATCATAGAACTTCCTAATGACTTTATTCTTTCATTCTATAATTCTGCTTAATTCTTTGTTCAATAATTCCAGAAGCCAATTTTGTCTTGAAAATATTCCTATTTCCAGACAGACAAATGCAACAGACCAGAAAGTTCTATAACAGACACAAATGCAGATGAGAATTTAATACTACATATGATAATGGCATTCCAAATTTCTGGGGAAAGATCTGAGTCTTCAGCAAATGGTATGGAAAACTGACTCGGCATCTGACAAATAAAACTTATATCTCCATCTTATGCTTTATACTAAAGTAAATGCCAAGTAGACAAGATATATAAAATGGGGATATGACTCTGAGTGGGGGGAGCAGAATAGAAATCCATCTCTATGTAGTTTATTATGTTCTAGAGCAGTGCTGCCCAATTGGAAATTTTCCATATTTGATACAGTGGCCACTTACCATATGTGGCTATTAGGCACTTGAAAAATACTAACATAGTGGACTAACAAACTAAACATTTCATGTAAATTCAATTTAAATAACCATAGGTAGTGAGTATTGGCACTGTATTGGCCAGAGGAATTCTGGTACATTGGTTCTTAAAGTGTGACTCATGGACAGCAACACCGGAATCTCTAGGACCTTCTTGAAATACAAATTCTCAAGCCCCAGTGCAGATCACTGAATCAGAAACTCTGGGGGTGGGGCCCAGCAATATGTGCTTTGACCAGCACTCCAGCCAATTCTTACGAACATGCTACAGTTTCCCAACCTGTGATCAAAGGAGGATAAAGAAACAAGTAAAATATATAGTACGTCAGATATGATAAATGTTGTGATGAAAAATAAGATATAAGGGAGGTTAAGAACTGTTCTAAGTGGAAAAAAAAAAAAAGACACTAGAACAGAGACCTGAATGGAATGAGTTATCTGGGCAAAGAACATTCCAGGCAGAGTTGACAAGTTACAAAGGACCTGAGGCAGTCGTGGGTTCTACATGTTTAAGGAAAAACAGAAAGCAGACTGCTGGGGGGGAAGTGGTAGTCTGAAACCAGAACGGCTTGGGATTTTACCAAGTGAGAAAGAAAACCAGTGGAGTTCTGAGGAGTGATGGGGTCTACTGTACATCTAAAAGGATTATATGCTGATTGTTTTCATTTTTTACTTTGACTTGAGAAAAAGTATGTTTTATTTTTAAAGTAAAACTAAAAAGCAAATGTGAATAATAGGGGTGATACATGATTTAAGAAGCCACTATCCTACATGAAAAAATGCTCAACATGACTCGGCATCAGGGAAATACAAATCAAAACCACAATGAGGTACCACCTCATACCAGTTCGAATTACCAAGTCAGGAAATGACAGATGTTGGCAAGGATGCAGAGGATGCAGAGAAAGGGGATCCCTCTGATATTGTTGGTGGGAATGCAAGCTGGTGCAGTCACTCTGGAAAACAGTGTGGAGGTTCCTCAAAAAGTTGAAAATAGAGCTGCCCTGTGACCCAGCAATCGCACTACTGAGTATTTACCCTAAAGATGCAAATGTAGTGATCCGAAGGGGCACGTGCACCCGAATGTTTATAGCAGCAATGTCCACAATAGCCAAACTATGGAAAGAGCCCAGACGTCCATCAACAGATGAACGGATAAAGATGTGGTAAAAATATACACAAGGGAATATTACGCAGCCCTCCTAAAATGAAATCATGCCATTTGCAACAACACAAATGGAACTAGAGGGTATTAGGCTAAGCATAAAAAGTCAATCAGAGAAAGACAATTATCATATGATCTCACTCATATGTGTAATTTAAAAAACAAAACAGATGATCAAAGGGTAAGACAGGAAAAAAATAAGACAAGATGAAATCGGAGAGGGAGACAAATCATAAGAGACTCTCAATCATAGAAAACAAACTGAGGGTTGCTGGAGTGGAAGAAATAAAGGGATGGGATCACTGGGTGATGGACATTAAGGAGAGCATGTAATGTAGTAAGCAGTGGGTGTTATATAAGAGAGAAATCACAGACCTGTACCTCTGAAACCAATAATATGTTTATTTTTTAAAAAGCCACTGTGTTATTTATTCATTCATTTTTTCATTTATTTTGGGTGTGTGTGTGTGTGTCTTCAAAGGTAATTTTCTTTTGTTGTTGTTGTTGTATTCAGAATAGTTTGGGGGAAAAGTTACAAAGGTATTGCAAAAATTTAGGGGGAGATAAGGACTTAGTCAGATTTCAGATTATTTCGTGAAGTGCTGATACAATTAAAGCCAATGCCAGAAGAAAAGAGCGAGAAGATATGAGAAACAGAAAGAGGAACTAAGCAGTAGGAAGAGGCCAGGACGGCTGAACATCAGAGTGTGGGAAGGCTGCTGAAAGGACCCAACAGGAGGCCTAAAGTGCTTAATTAAATGATTTGCTATGTGATACACTCACTCACCTTTTCCTGGTGACCCACATACCATCACTAAGGTCCTGGTAGCTTCAGGGCGAGGTGTTAAATCAAGAAAAGAAAGGAAATTTCAGGGGTGCCTGGGTGGCTCAGTGGGTTAAGCCTCTGCTTTCAGCTCAGGTCATGATCACAGGGTCCTGGGATCGAGCCCCACATCGGGCTCTCTGCTCAGCGGGGCACCTGCTTTCCCCCCACCCCCCGCCTCTCTGCCTGCTTGTGATCTCTATCAAATAAATAAATAGTCATTTTTTTTAAAAAAAGGAAATTTCAAAAGGAAGAGACTAAAAAGAAAGAATCCAAAAATAAGACATAAAGTCAGAGCCAGGACTTCAGTTTGGCTCAGTTAAATGCCTGCCTTCGGTTCATGTCGTGATCCCAGGATCCTGGGACGGAGCCCCTCGTTGGACTCTTTGCTCAGGGGGAGTCCCCTCCCTCTGCCTGCCGCTCCCCCTGCTTGTGCTGTCAAATAAATAAATAAAATCTTTAAAAACAAAACAAAACAAAAAACAACAACAAAAACGCCAGAGCCAGAGGAGGCTCTAAGAACCTTAACCTTCAGGAATTTTCAATAATAATATAATTTAATAAAGGGGAGTGAACTTTCCACAAGATCTAGAACGGGGTTAAGGCCAATCTTATCTAGACTTGAGGGAATAGAGTGGCCTCAAGATGTTACCTGAGTTCCATTTATACCTAGATATGAACTCTGCTTGCAGGACCAGCTCTTAGCAGTGTATATTCCCAGGACCTGATACAATGTCTGTACTAGTGAGGTCAGTATCACTGAATGAGGTTATTATAGAAACCAGTGATTATTTCTCTCTTAATCTGGTATCTCAAACACACAGCAGACAATATACAACAGTGTATGTATGTATACAAACACACACACATACACACACATACACATATATATAACTCAATATATATGAGTTATCTGCATGGTATTGGATGTATGAAAAAGCAAAGTCACTGAAAAGAGATTCATATGCTTTAAAAACACACATAGGCATGAAAGCTGTTTTTTCTTAATTTACAAACTGAACTAGTAGCCTTGTATCTAAAGTCAAGACATCTTTACAGAGGTGAGATATAAGCATTAAGTTGGGTTAGACCTTTTCCAAAAATAACCTCAGACCAGTTCAAATGCTTCAAATAGTTCATTGAAGCCTCAGAATTTGGCACTAGAAGCACAGAAGAGAGGATCCTGACCTAGCTGACTTTGAGAGTGGGAACTGTCTTAACTCTCTCATGAAGGAGCCCCAGCACTATAAAAGTAGGACATAACCTTTAAGCAGGCTCCGCATGCCACGGGGCTGCATTGGGGATTTGCAAGTCACAAACTGCACCACAGAAAACAAAATCATCTCTTGCGTATAGTTGAGAATTTCCCCCCCTGGAAGCCAAATTACTTCCAGCAAAAACAACAATTCTGTTCTGAGGAGAACTATCCCAAGTTGATGTACCAAACAGCAGTTGGCTAACAGGTTCCACCCCAGGATCACCCCAGGAAGGATGCTTATGTTCCTGCTTGCTAAAGTGGGAGCACATGCCAACAGGCCACCCAAAACTTGAGCCAAATTATTAAAAGTAGGAAAGGATTGGCTGAATTTGGTCATCACTTCCTCAATCCAATAAGAAATAGTATTTTCCTCCTCCATATAACCCCATCACTTTGAACTATAGTTTATTCTGTTATTTAAGAGACTACTATGCATTATTATTTTCAGATTTCTCTTGTGAAATAATTTCCTGGAGGGCAGATACTTTTTTAAGACCCTCTAAAATCTCTTTTCTCTTCTTTGAAATGGAGAAATCCCTATGAAATTTTCTACTCCCTTTAGAAGTAAATGACAATCCCTCATATGAATTTCATATCTATTACCTCATTTGAGCTCACAACCACCACAAAAGCTACTCCCACTTCATGAATTAAAAAAATTGAGCTTAGAGAAGTTACATGACCAGATAATGAAGAACATATATACAATTAAGGTGCAGTCAAAATTAGAATTTCCTGAGTCCTGACAGAGCTACATTTTAGCCTAATAATACTGTAAGTCAGCATTCAGGATAGGGTACATGGTTTGTAAGAGGCTAACTGCCATTTGCTGCAGTTTTACTTCAAAGAATGATGACATCACTAAATCACCCCCTAAATCCTTGCGTGACTCTTTCTGCATTCATGACACCTATTAGGGGTAAACTTGTCCTAGATGTGTTACCTGCTAGATAAGACCTCCATTTTTGTATTTCTAAAGATCCAACTGGGTATCAAAAATGAAGGTCATGGTTCACCAAAGAGCTCACAGATCAGCAAGAAGTCTAATAACTGTCTCAGTGAATTTCCAACCCTTGGAAGTGTTTAAACAAAGCCACTTACCAATAGGGTGGCTATGTAATTTATCATCCAATCTGGGACACCTGAGAGTGAAAGGGGGGCACTATTAGCAAATAATCTGGGATAACAGGTATAAACAAGGACTGTCACAGGAAAATGAGGATGCATAATGATAAGGACTTACTATGAATAGATAGATTTCAAGTACCTGATAGGGGCTGAATTCTATGAATAAGATTCTTCCTTATTACGACTCTTTAAATCTTAGTATCCAGTAAAGCATTATACCATTTTCACTGAATCCTCAAAACTGAGTTGAGTTGAATTAGTTCTCGCTGCCCCTTCCAAATGTATACCAACAACCCAATCAGACTTACCAATGATAGTGTGGGAAGTTTTAGAACACTGCCTGCCGGGATGACACTTGTCATATGCTAACCAACCTAGTTCAGTAGTGAGTTCACAAATGAACTAATGTTCTCTAACTATTCCTATGTGCATGAAATGAAGGGGATCAGGTACATAAAACAAATAAACCTAATCTCAAAATTGAGAATGCTTACTGAATTATGCTATAGGAAACACTTTGAAGAAAGTAACAGTTTTAAGATTTGAAGACAATAATATACATCAGTACTAAACTGACAAAATACATATTTCTTAAAGTAAAAAAAAAAATTGAAGCTCACCACTTTAGGCTAAATCTACTTGGTCATGTATCTTAGATGTTACATTCACAGCTAGTCATAAATAATTACCTTCGCAATAACTGTGATTTAATAACATACCTATTAAACGCACATACACACCCCTTATTTTAAAAAAAGAGTACTATAAATATATCTCACAGCAATTGGGACAATTCAAATACAGACAAAGGATAAGATAAATTGTACTGACACAAAAGTTAGAAATCATTAACTGAAAAAGGGACAAGTTAAGAAGATGGCATGTGCAACATGATATCGGTTAAAAAGAAAAGTGACTATATAGGTATGTGTGTACACACACATTTGGGTGTGTCTGCGCATGTGTGTATGAATGAAAGATTATATACCATAAAGTTAATAGTTGTAATCTGCCTGTTTAAAAATGACATAGTATTTTAAATTTTTTTAGCTTATCCGCATCTTCCTATTTTATATAGTGTCCAAGTGTTGCATTTGTAATTATAAAAAATTAAAAAAGAAAATTAACAAGGATCATTGTTATAAGGCAGGGATGCCAGGAAAGGAGAAAAGGGTAGTCCACCTAGGAATGACACTCAGAGGACATTTGTGAGTATTCTGTCACATTTTCCCACTAACCAGGAGTGCAATCAGCCTGCAGAGGCTTATGTGCTCCCTGGCTCAGGGCTGTGGAAGGCTGTACTGGAGCCCAGTTAACAGGATTCTTCAGTCTCTCCAATAAAAACTCAAGCAGCTCTGGTATACTGAAATACTTTAGCAGTTACAATTCCAACTGTTATTTTAAGCAGTGACAACTGAATCAGTACCTAAACCAAAATTTAAGAATTCTTAGGGAGTTCAATATGATTTGTGCCATGGAATGGATTTTTAACAGTGTGTTCTTCAACTCTATTCACCTATTATATAATGTATTTACTACACACGTGTCATTATTTGACACTTTTCAATAAATGTAAGCATGTTATGAAATTGTGAAACTCTTCTGGGATTCATACTGCCATATTATTGATTTTTTTTTTTAAATGAAACTGACCCACACTGATCCAGTATTGTCATTTTTCATAGTCTACTTTTTCCAACAGGTGGCACTGTAATCCATGTAAACCATTTCTGAGCTAGTTCTCTGACCCACCCAGGGCCAGTCAAAACTGGGCTTACTCTCAACTCTGCTATAAACCAGTGCTGTTGGACAGGTAAATCCAGGTCACAAATCATATGTAATGAGTCTCTGGGTAATTTTACAGGCAAAGGCCAGAAAGGTGAGATAGCTTGCCTGAGGTCACACAGCAAGTTACAGAATCAACCACAGGGCCCAGGATCTCTAACTTCAAGTTCTATGCTTTCTTTATTTGTGTTTTCATTCACTTCATTTTCAGATTTGCTCAAATCAAAACAAATTTCTACTTAGGGTAGGAGCATAAAAGAAAAATATATCTTTGTTTATTATAAATGTTGTTGATTCCATTCCTCCCTTTTGTGGGAGAGTACTAGTATAGCCACACAATGCTCTTTCCACAGGCTAAAAAAAGGGGGATTAATGTTAATCTTTTGCCAAATCTCCCAAATGAAAACTACTTTTAAAGTACCCCAAAGAGAGGTGCCTGGGTGGCTCAGTCATTGGGCGTCTATCTTCGGCTTAGGTCATGATCCCAGGGTCCTAGGATCAAGCCCTGCATCAGGTTCCCTGCTTGGCAGGAAGTTTGCTTCTCCCTCACCCTCACCCTCTCCCCCTCCCCCTGTTTGTGTTCTCTTTCTAGCTGTGTCTCTCTCTGTCAAATAAATAAAATCTTTAAAAAAAAAAAAAAAAAGGATCCTTTCAAAATAAATACATACCTACATACATACATACATAAAGTATCCCAAAGAAAACAGAGGGAAAAGAAACACTTATTTTGTGAGGAATAATTACATACTGGGCAGACTGATCTAGAGTGACAGGCAAACATACCCACATATTTCCTTATTCTCTGTAGTGTTCGGCTCATAAGCTCATTTTCATTAAAAATTAACTTTCCCAAGTACTCAGAGACACCACTACTTACGCTGTTGCATACTGTAGCACCTTCTGAGGAGG